GTCTCTGAAATGGGATCATACGAATCATCTATTTCCCCTGTTCTTCAAGTTACAGTCCCTTTTCTCAGTCTCATTGCCTGATAGACCAAGTAGGGTTAATCCCTAGGCCAAGAGCTTCTCTTTGGGTATGTGGGATTGAGAAGACAAAGTAGTGCTGAAGCAGTTGCTTTAGAAAAGTCTCTTTCTAAGACCTGTCCACAGCCTTTGTGTCTCTATCAGCTTCTGGGTCTGCTGGCTACAGCAGAGAAGTTGTCCACTCCCATTTTTGAGAGCTGTTCTTTCAACATTTAGGGCCTTAACTCCAGCAAAACATAAACCAGTAAACTTAGCTGGAGCCTGTGAATATCATCTTTTATGAAAGACCCCTTTGCCCTAGCTTGGCTTCCCTCTTACTCTTTCTGTAAGAAACTAGGGCAGCCCCTAGTACCAAACCAGCTGAATGCTTTGGATTCAGATGTCAGTAAGAATAGGAGTGGGAATCTGGATTGTATGTTCATAACAGACAATACGATTGTTTTCTTATTTTGCTGCAGTTACTACATGTACAGTTATATTTCTGTCTGAGGAAGCAAAACACCTTCACAGATGAGTACAAAATGATGCATGTGTTTTCCCAAGCCTGAACTCATGAGCTTGTATGTACTTTACTGTAATCTGACACTTACTGTAAGAAATATATTTTACATAATTGGCAGTGGCAGCCACATATTCTGAGAGAAAAAAGTGTATTGAACTGTATACTGTGTATCACTGATAATGATTTGCAGCAGTATCTTCCATAAAAGTGAAGGATAATTTAGCACTTGAAAGCCAGGCCTCAAAACCAAAATAAAATCCTCTTCTTTTTCTGTGCCTAGGCTAGGATTCATCTCACCTCACCATAGACATCGGCAGTGTAGACACATATGGTAGGACCCATCACCTCAAGCTCCCTTTGCAGTCAATACAGGGAACAGGCACTTTTAGGCCATGATTCATCTGACCTATTTACGTGTCTGCTGTAGGAGGAGATGAATCACTGCCTAGACTAGATCTTTGTGGAGGATAAAGGGAGCCTAAGATGGCCAGCTCAGATGTAGATGCTTATACAGATCTACAGTTTGAATTTAGAGTTGCAGTTTGGAACAACAATTTTCAGAGAAGAGTTAAATTTCCTAAGCCACATTTTCCTAGCAGAATGTGTGTACGAATATATATATATATGGGTTTTTTCTTCCTGCAACAGAAACATTTGCAACAATATCTTTTGAAAACTAGCCCTATATCCCCTTCTCCAAATGTTCCACCATCTGAAGAGCTGCCATTTTCTCTCTCTCTGCCTCTGCCCCTCTTTCACACATACAGACGTGTGTACACATGCCATGTTTCAGAGCTGGGCCTTCTGAATTTTCAGCATTAACTCAAAATATACTCCTCTGTGTGTGGTAGCCAGAGCTGTTACACACAGAGATATATTAACTGGTTTTGGTTTTTAAAAATCTCAAAGCAAAATATGCAAACAAAACCACCAAATGAACATTTCTGAAATTTGCTTCTGTTTAAAAATAGCATTTTTTAATTCATATTTTCTGCTAGAATCTGCTCTATTCTGCCTGCAGCCTTGGTGTGGCAGGGCATTGTAGGAAGAGGAACGTCAGTTTCTGGGAGACAAGTACTGTTGCAGAGGGAGGGGGAAGACAGACTTGATCATCTGAGAAAGGGTGCAAGTTCCTGAGTGAAGCTCTGAGAAGACAAGAGAGAGGTAATGTTGTATTATTATGTATAGAAGATCAGAGCTGAAAGAGTCTGGTTTATGCGGAGTGAGGATGATATCCTCGCAGGTACACTTGTGCACGTGCTGGAGTATAATGTCCCAGTGCATCTGAACACCCATCTAGACTGCAAAAGGCACGAGGGTAATACTTAAAAAAAGGAATAAAGGAAGTCACCCTGTTGCAGAGCTTTACAATGCTCAGCTGCTGCCGAGGAGTGCTTGGTGTAGCTACAGTAGTGGTAGGCAAAATATCCCTCCAATCCAGCTGTTGGCACACAGCACGGCAACCCATTTATGTGAGCACCTGGTTGATCAGTTTGCTTGTGACAGATCTTGGCACGCCCTCTCCTCTGGCTGTAAAGCTTGACTGACTCTTGTGTTTTGTGGGATTTTTTTTCCCCACAAACTCTTGTCTGGCATGGGAGGACTTGGAACAGAGCAACACTGGCTCTGGCGACAACAGGAAACTGCATTCTGGATAACCCTTTACAGTGCAAGCTTTCCAGCCATTTAAGGGCTTTTCTGTGGGGATCGGAAGGAAAGGCTGTCCATCATCTGAAGTCGGTTGCAGTGGGAAGGGTGCCCGTGACTGCAAAGGTCTTTGGCAAAGGCCACGAGCATCTGAAGGCTGCCTCTGAGAAATGGGTGTGGGCTCGCGGTTCCCCACAGGGTGCAGTGCAGAAGCGGCTTCAGGAAGAGAGAGTGCTCTTTCACCAGTCATCCCAGTGCATCATTCATTAAATATAAGGCCCTACAGGAAAACCAGGGCTTCGTGTTCTCTGTGCCCCCTCCTGCATCAGCCCTGACATCAGTAGTTTCGAACCATGGAAGTTAAATTAAGGCCAGTGCAGTCTAATAGGCAAGGGAGAGCAAATGCTAAGAAGTCAAGGTAATGAGAAAATACCTGCCATCTGGAGCTGTCATAAGCATGAATCTACATCACTCCCCACAAAATAAATAAATTACAGCCTGTGGAACATTACTCTCCCCAGATGCAAAGCCCCGCTCCTGCCGCTACCGCCAAAAATTTTGGGGGCCTGTCAACCATAACTCCACCCCCCCCCCTAAAAAAAAAAAAAACCCCAGCCTGTGGAACATTACTCTCCCTGGATGCAAAATGAGGGCTACCCTGCTGCAAAGTTTAAGCCTTTATGTTCCCATGCAAAGCCCCGCTCCTGCCGCTACCGCCAAAAATTTTGGCCTCCCCGCTTTCCGCGTGATCATCTGCTTCTGCTGAAAGCCCCAGAGAGATGTGCATGGGCGCGGGGAGACATCTGCAACCGCTGGCTGTTTGAGTGCAATGGCTGGAATGGGATCTGTTCAGCTGCATCCGCTCGCTCCCTTCCTTGCTCTGACGGAAAGTTTTCCTCCCAGCTCTGGCAGCACCGCAGCCACTTGGGGAAGCACATGACTTCCTCGGGAGACAGCATTTCTTATTTGTGTTGCAGGCCTCCAGCAGGCATGGCACCGAGGCAATATTTATATCAGTTTTTGTAATGTCGTCGCAGCAGCTGCAATTTTGGGAACTGAAGTGCTTGCTGGAAGTGGAGAGAGAGGCACAAAGCACACCATGCCACACTGAAATCAGGGTGGAAGGAAAAAAAAAAAAAAGAAAATCGGCAACCAGCCTCCTCCCCCAGAAAGCTTGTTGTGTTCCGGGTGCCAGGGGTGCTGCTTGCCCTCCAGATGGTTACAGCAGGGCCCATCTGCCTAAAAGTGAGTCAATGAAAATTGCAGCTCAGGATGCCAGCAACGGGACCGGATCTCTCCCCGTGGGACACCTGCGCTCCTGGGGGAGCAGGGCAGGGGAAGGGGAGTCCCCAGGCTAGGTGGCTTTCCATGCTACATGCCTAACAGCCTGCTGGGGGAGGTGAGGGAGAGCTCAGGCCCTTCGGCTATGAGACAGCATAGTGCAACACTCGCGTGCAGATAGTAAGGCTGCCTCCAAAACCACTGCAGACTGGTGCCGTGCCTTGGCAATCAGCCCTAGCAGGCTCGTTAGCCCAGCTACAATGCTGTGCTGGTACAGCCATGCTGCTCCCTGGTCCCCAGCTGGCATCTCTGCCCCACTCTGTGCAGGTGCCCTGGCTTGTGTGGAGCTACCCCACTGTGGCTGTGGCCTCTACTGGGAAATCCCCAGGGAACCGGGATGGGGGTCCTGTCTTCCAGATGGTTTACTTGCTGCTTCCCGTTACAGGAATGTGACCCAATTGTCTCCTCTTCTGCCTCCTGGCTTGATTTCAATGGTATTAAGCCAGCAGAGATTTGAGCCTTCACTGATATTACGGGCCTCGAAGCCATAGCTGGCTGAAAGAGGGTGGAGTCTACTGTGTCTCCTCGCTCTTCCATCTACCCTGCAACCGGGGCAAATAAGTGCCCATGGCTGGTCCCATGTGTGTAAGAGGGGCTCTCCACTGCCCATGCATGCTCTTAGTGGGTGACTTGTACCTCTGCTGCCAAACAGCACTGGCTGGCAGGACAGTGGGACTGAATTCTTCCCCATATTTGGGGAATAACTCCAACTGGTCTGTGGAGTTATGTCTGACAGAGGAGGTGTCACACAGTCCCCAGATATCTTAGAGCTTGGTGGAACTGAACAAAGTTGATGTGGAGCTAAAATGCTTCCACCAGGTACTGCCCCAGACACTGGTTGTTAGGTGATACACATTTTATCATGGGCAAGAGCTAAAGGTCATTTGCCCCAAACATAGCTGTTTGGTGCAAAATACCTTCACTCTCCTGAACTGCACAGGGCGTCAAGAAAAAGGTCCTCTCCACTGGGCCACCAAAGAGCTCTCCATGTCCATGTTCCCCACAGTCCTCTGAAAGGACTTCCGTGAGGCACCAGGCAGAGGAACCGTCACTGTGTCTGCCTGGGAGTACTCTGAAAACCAGCACCTGAAGTTGCATTGCAGGCACCATGAGGTAGAAACACCATTAAAGACTGGCAACATGGTGAGCATGGCTTCTTGGGCTGTGTCCCTCAGAAAATCCCCTCCAGTCTCCCACTTTATATGCCGTTGTGCCATGAGCAGCTCTATTCCGTCTCACTAAGAACTAAAACTTCAGTGCCCAAGCTGTTTTCTTAGCCCAAGCACCCTGAAATGTTCCTGGTGAGTGGGGTTGGGGTGAGACAGGCAGAGAGAGAGAGGAAATAAGCAAAAACATAGCAGCGGTGGCAGATCCTCAGAGGTGGTGTGGGGAGGGCTTAGCAACCCTTTCAGCACTGTCCTATTGCAACAGGAAGGAGGAGGATATACAGAGGTTACTTAAAAGCCCCCAACTCTTTCCAGGCTTCCTTTGCACTTCAGAAATTCTGCAAGGGAGAAGAAAAAAAAAAAGACTATCTGAAAAGAAGGTACCCTTGCTAACTAAAAAAATTCCTTTAAGAGCTTACTGCTATTAAATAATTGCTACATTTTGAATTGCTATTTTCAGGAGCTTTGGGAAGAAGTTGTGTTCTCAGCCATGAATATTTTCATAGAAGGATGGCATGGCTTTTTCATTGCTACATGCTTACACTGAAATAGATGTGAAAGCAGTTTTGACTAGCTCAAAGAGAAGTCTCTGATCAGCCTACATCTGAGATTTCCCTTAAGGTCATTAATAGGAGAGAAATAAGTGGATATGTGCTTTTTTCTTTTCTTTTCTTTCCCTTTTCCCCCCCTCTTTTTTTTTCCTCTCTCTGTCTTTCTCAAAAGTGGATTTCCTGAGTGCAGGATTTAGCCCTTTAGATATTGGGTATTTGTGTGCATAGGGACAAAAATAATTCTCCAGTAATCATCCACAGACTGTTGTAGGCTGTAGTATTTGAGATGATTGCAGTATAACTTAGAATGTCTTTTTTAATAGGGGGAGGTAGTGTGTGATGCGCTTTCTGGAAATATAATTTGCTATTTTGGAGTCAATATTGTTGTTTTGGAGGGTGGGAGAGTGAATGATTTTCTAGTTCTTTTACCTGAAACTCCCTAATGTTTTTAATGCCCTGCTTCTCCTAGGCAAATACTTCTGTGTTAGGCTTCCCTCTCCTTCTCCCGCCCCCCTTCTTCTCTTATTCATGTGTTTTGACAAACACAAAATGCCTTCCACTCCTTAGAGAGCTGTACTCCATCATTAGACTGATGTTTTCTGCCTCTCAGTTTTTATTTATGTGAGTCTAAAAATGTGTAGCTCGCTGGCACCCCACACTGTTTTTGGTTTCTCCCATCTTACATGTGCCACACTGGCTCTTGTCTGCTTTTTCCTTGCACTCTTTCTTTCTGTCATGGTATTACAACATTTTTAATACAGGATGTCTGAAACAACAAACACCAACGAAGAGAAGAAGAAACCTTCTCTGAATGGGAGAAGAGCCGTCCCATCAAACAACTCCAATGATGAAGAAAATGAGGTCCCTGAGATAGAGGTTTTTGGATTGATACCTAGAGGATTTAATCCAAAAGGTAAAGTGTACAATTAAGACATGAGTCTATTTTTTCATCTTCCATACTCACCTCTGCCCAGGTCTGTGAATTAAAACCAAACCACTTCTTTCCTTACATGTTTTGATCTCAGAAAGCTTTTATTGCTGCTCATGAAAAAACTTGCTAAAAACACGCATTTGCATGGAAATGTTACCGCAGGTTATGGGTAGGGAAAGTGAGGGGTGGAGAAGCTGAGTGACCAGTTTTCAGCTTGAACTGTGGGAGTGGTTAAAAAAAGGCAAGAATGGGTTTTCCCACTTTGATCACAATCACAGAGTTACTTTAGGACCTGCTGGCTTCAGGCATGGCTGTGGGAGCACTGGGGTGAAGGGGGCAGGAGGAGCCTCCCCTCTTAATGGCCCTGCGGGTTTGTATGGCCTTAAACTGACTGTGAAACTACTGCAAAATGCTGGCTGGCAGGGAAAACTTCTGCTAGATGTTCAGCTCACTCATAAAAATGAATGTGAAATTAAAAGGAAACCCCATATTTTTAATTATTCTCCTGTGAAAAGTGTTTCATTTGTTTGGCTGGGGAGACAAAACAGTATCATGGTAGGGGATGGGCAAATCAAACCACATTCTCAGTGCCAACTCTTTGGAGTGAACCTGAAAAAAAATGGGTAAGATTTGGTTTAAAAGAAATCAGGAGTGGCTCCTGAATGAGTCACCAATCAAATTATGTTAATTTTTTGGCCTATTTGAAATGAACAACAGAACTTGTTGAACGTGGCAACTGAGGGTAGCCAGATGTAATAATACTTAATGCTCGTAGGGGACTTTTCATCTAGGGTTGAAAGAGTGCTTAATAAATGTGGACAAGCATTAATTACTGCATTTTACATATTGGGAAACAGGCAAAGAAATTTTAAGTGACAAGTTCAAATTTTTATTGCAAAGCATTATTTCTGTAATCCTAATCATGTGCCTTAACCACATGTCGTCCCCCCCCCATTTTAATACACACATATTTCTTTAAAAAGCATTTCTTTTAATGCCTGAGCAAACCAACTGGCATGTTCAGACTGTAGAAACTTTGCTTGAACCTTTTCAAACAACCCTGTAGCTCTGGGGCAAGTATGTGTGTTTAAATTGTCAAATGTAATGCAATACAGGTCCTGACTAGATATCGTTTCAAACCCAATGTGCTCACAGAAGCTGGAGATGTGTAAGGGTGTGAGATATCTTAGAAGGAATGTAGCCTGTAGCTAAAGCCCACCAGTACCAGGAGAAAGATTCCTATTGCTTTTTGATGTGCTTCACATCAGGCTCTGAATGAAGTGCGGTGCTGGTGGGCAGGAGCCTCTTGCTTTTCAGAAATGCAATGGAAACTTAGGAATGTCAGGTCAAGTGAGTTGAGGCAGGAACGCAACATGTGCTTAAGGTGATGCTGCTGGTGAGAAAAACAGCCCTTGTCCAAAGCAAGAGCTTGTGTGGCCATAGGATAAACCTGGCTATGGGACTGGTATGGCTGAAAAATAAATTTGTGCATAACAGCAAAACACTTTTTGTACAGCTGGATCAGCTCTGCTGTGCAGTTCAGCTCTGCAATGCTTATAGCAACAACGTGCAAGGGGTGACCTGAAGGGAAGGGACTGCAGCACTGTTTCAGTGCACATCAGCTGTGATCTAAGCCTGTGATACCAGCTGATGTAAGTGTGGTCCCTGGACACACTGTTTTGGGGTAGGATGCTTAAGTCACCTGTCAGACAATGTTAAAGGTTTGTATAGCCCAATGGAGCTCAGACTGGGACTTACATTCAAGAGCTGAGCCTGCCCAAAGCACTCGCAACATTGTGCTTGGGGGATAAAGTGAGTGTCTGCAGGCAGAGTAGGAGCGGCAGAGTATGACAGGGCTCTAGCGCCGTGAGCACATCCTTGCAGAGGACTGCTTGCGCCACCTCCTTCCCCTTGTCCTGCTCACCTCTACACTTCTGGGTTGTCCAAATTTTTTGTAGTCGTTCCCACATTTCATTGCCGTAACACACTGAAAAAAAAATGCAGATGCTTTTGTCCCTGCTGTTATAACTGAGGTGTTTTCTAGCCCTTGGGGTAGGATTGGACACCTGCTATAAACATCTAAATGTCAGTGTCTTCACCTGTGTCAGATCATAGTCAACACAGAGCCATCCAGTGAGTGGAGGTGAGGGCACAGGCTGTCTGGAGAGGCAGTGGGTGTCACTTCCAGGGTGATCTGTACCCTTCTCTCAGCTCCACTGGTGGCAGCAACTGGCCGTAATAAGAGGTTACATACCAGGCTCACATCATTTAGATGCCTAAATTTAACTGAATCTTGCCCTTGATCTGTGCAGTGTAGGTGTCTACAGCTGAGCTAGTCACCCTCATTTCCCTTGACAGCCAACAGAGAGAAACAGGCATTTTTAGGGTGTGATTCATTTGACCTATTTTAGCTACTACTCTAGGATGAGGTAAAACCCTGTGCTTGACTAGCTCTGTGCTGACACCCACTTCTACTCCGCTGAATCACAGCCGGAGCAAGCGGCAGAGGCTGCTGGGGACGGCTGCCTCCCCAGCCCAGTCAGTGGGCTACCTGCTGCGGGAGCCCGGCTTGCTTGCGGGAGGAGATGCTCAGTGAGGAGGACATGCAGCCCCCGAGTGCTTCTTCAGCAAGAAGCCTGTGTCTCCGTGAACACGCCTGTGCTGTGTCCTCCCCCTAGCTCTTCCTAGCCAGCTCATCTCACCGCAGTGTGTTATGAGTGGGCCTGGCACTTACAGCCGCTTGGTGGGAGGACACAGCCCTGGGGCCCCACGGTCTGCAAGCTCCCCACGCACCCTCCTTCGCAAAGCTCGGCGACTCGCCAGGGAATCGTGCTTCCCCTGTTAGCAGAGTGATAGGCACCTCCTTTGGAAACTCACACTATTCCGTTTGTAATCCAGAGCCCTTTCTGATCCTGCAAGAAAGCCTGATGTTTGAAGGCTATTCTTGTTATTCGAAAAACAGCTCAAGCTTGTGCTCATTTATTTCCATGCAAGCTTAACATTACAAAAGCTTTAAGAAAGCATCAGACCGCTGCCTCTCATGCAGCAAGCCTGCTTGCACTAAACAGCAGACCAGGCTACGGGCAAACCGTCAAATGGACCTGACTTCAAAGGAGCCCTTGATGGCCACCTGTCCCTCACAAACAGATAGATGAGCAGTGACGTGCATAGCACTTGGACCCTTCCTTTTGATCATACTCTGGTGATGGTGTTAGCACATCCCATTACCCTGCTCATGTTTTGTCCTCCATAATTACCATTACTGTAATTAACACAGGCTCGGTCACAGGTTATCTTCATCTGGCAAGCTGTACAGTTTAACACTGGGAGTGACAGTGAAATGTATTTTCTGCAGATGTGTATGGCTGTGTTTTGACAGGAGCCATGTAAATTCCTGAGATGAAATGAAGCAAATGCTGAACTGACGGCCCAGGGTGGCTTAGCTCTGCAGTTCCTTGAAGGGGCTAACATGCGAAGGAAGGGAAGGGTCACTGTTGCCTTGTATTTCAGAACACGAGATGAAAACATAACAAACCCTAAACCCCATTTTTATGCCTCCTTGGAAGGGGGAAGAAGCTGAGCCAAACTTACTGGTAGCTTCACCCCTCACAGAACCCCAAGATATGCAGCTTTTACATGCAGTGCTTTCAGCCTGGTAGGGGTTGGGAGAGATAACGGGAGAGACTCTCCCCTGCCCCTGCTTTACCCCCCTCTGGGAAATTCCTGCCTCACGTAATTTAATTGTGAGCTTTGTCAGCATTATTGTGAGTGAGCATTGATAAGTTTTGCAGGGAGGGAGGCAAAGACATGCCCCGCTTCACAGGGGGGCAATGAGAATGATTTCTGAGCAAAACACATTTAATGTTTCACACAAAAATCATCTCTGTAACTTCAGCCAGCGCTAAAGCCAGTGGGGATCTACAGAAGTTACTCCAGAAGCCTGGCGAATTGAGTGGAGAATAACAATAACATTGCCATAGGACTTTAAGCCTGCCTCAGTATTGAACAGGGTATTCCAGCCTGTCTGCAGATTAGGGTTAGCAGGAGGCGGATGGTTCTGGGTTCAGTTGTCCAGGGCTTTTCCATGAAAGGATCCTTATCTTGCTGTGTCCTCAGGCAGTTTCCTTTCCTTCTGTTTCCCCGCAGGGCAGGGCTGGGCAGCTGATGGTGACAATGCACGAGCGGGACCTGCTCCTGCTGCCCTTATTTCCCCCTCCTCCAATAGCTGTTGCCTGGAGCCCAGGCTGGGTGGCTTGGCCAGGGCAGGAGAAGGACCATGCTGGTGTCCAGGGGAGTTGCTGCCTGCGGGGCTCTGCTGATGTCTTGAACACATCCCTGCAGAAGGGCAGGGCTAATGCACACGCTGCTGTAGTCTGGAGGCTACATACCCGAATGGGAGCTGCTCTGCTGCTTGTCCAGAGCCGGCCACGATGCAGTGTCTCCCTGCCTTCAAGGAAAAGCAGTGTGCAAAGCTGTTGTCTGAGCTTCTGTGAAATGGGCTGTGTTCAGCCCTCAGTGACTTGAATATCCGACTTATTTGCTGAGCACATCATTCCTGTTCACAGTGTACTCAGTAGCAGGCCAAATTAACCACCATCACGAGTACACACAGCTCCACCAGCTGCTGTAAATGTGCACCTCTTTTTGCCAGGCATGAGTTTGGCTCTGTCATCGTCAGTATAAAATGCAGAAATTAGCTAGTTTCTAACTGTCGGCACCTGGAAAGACAAGCTGAGAGCTGCAAACCAAGCTTTACTCTTCTGTCTCTCTCCTGGTGGTGAGCAGTAATGGTCCTCCTGGCAGAGGTTTCGTGATTATCTGCCCAGGCATGTGGGCGAAAGAATGATGTCCAGTCCATTTTCATGTGGTTGCTCGTTGTGTGAGAAGACTCCCATTGTGAAGATTCCCGGTATGGTACAGTCATGTAGCTCGTGGTGACTGCAAGTGCCTTTGGCTATGCCAATGCCACCCCACACTGGTCATTAGCTGAGCAGACTAACTTCTAGCAGTGGTAGGCTATAACCCTTTAGACAGCCCTAATTTGAAGGGAGTGAAGCTTTGCCCATGCATGTTATAGATACCTACTGTTGTTTGCCTGTAACTCTATGCTGTAATTATATACTGTAATGTTTTATTTAGTTTTCATAAGAAGAAACTAATAGCAGTGGATGTGTCCTGAGAAGCTGAGTTTAGACACATACAGTACACCTAAACCTTATTTAATACAGACAATCCAAGCTCTCAGCTGAATGCAAGATCATTAACTGCCTCTCAAGCTCTTCAGCACTCGATAGTAGTAGTGCTTTGCAAACATTAATGTATTTAAGCGTCACAAAACCCTTGTGAATTTGCATTTTACAAATGGAGGGCTGCAAGAAGGCACATGAAGCCACAGCTGTCAAAGGCCCACTGATTGCCCTAGTAAACTTGCGACAGCGAGGCCCAGACTTGCAGAAAGCCGATGCCAAAGGAAAGACGGAGTCCAGCTCTCCTTGGGAATATTCAGCTTTCCACCCGTAGCAACCTGCCCTTCCTGCAATTGCTTTTGCCATTCACTAGAAGCCTTGCAGGCTCTGTGAAAATGGCAGGTGGACAGAGAAGTGTCAGTCCGTAAATCCCTGCTCAGCCAGGAGGATGGAAGCCCCAGACAGATCCAGCATGCTCCATTGCACGGTGTTCTTCGATGAGGCAACGCTGGGGAAGGGGAGGACAGGGCCTCTAATGATGTTGATATCAATATTGACATTCCAACATACTGACTCCTTCCCTCTCTGTTCATTTACGTGTCTCTGCAGATTACCTGCACGTTGTAGACATTCATATGTTCAAGGAGCCCCACGAGATTAACAAGCAGCAGCACCATACTGACAAGTACTACAGCCCCAAGCTGATAGTGCGTCGGGGACAGCTTTTCCAAATCCAGATTGACTTCAACCGACCCTACAAGCCAGAGACGGACCAATTCTGGCTGGAGTATTTGATAGGTAAGTGCCTAGCAGAGGCTGCATCATACCAGCAAAGTAAGGTTCAAGAGTCTCTCATAAACAGGACCACAGCAGTACTTAATGGCTGGGTCTTTTCCTGTTATGATTGATAAACCCTAAAAACAGGCTTAACCACAGGCAAGGAAGTGCTTTACTAAACTGGGTCTGAATCTTACTTGAAAAAGTCAGCAGAATTGCTTGTGAGAGAAGGAGCAGTATTTGGGGCTTTCCGTTTAGCAAGAAGCTGTACTTTATTGAGCTTTCAAAGTTATCTCTGGTTAATGCTGTATGGCAATGCTGAAAGGTAGGTGGAATGGGAAACACCTTTTATTAGTGTTTAGGAGATGCAGGGAGGAGTCATCTGTTGTTTAAGAGAGTTGACTATGTATGAACTGGGATAACAAAATGTTGAGTACACAAGGGGGAAAAATTACACAGGAATTAGAATAGGAGGCCTTGCAACTTCGCAGCCTGCATTTACAGCCAACCTGGTAACAACGGAGAAGATTCAGAGATTGTAGCTTTGGACCAGAGACTTATTCAGAGCCACATCAAAGGCTTTCTTGATTTACTGCAAAAAGAGCAAGAAAGCATTTTTCCTCTCACTGAAAGATCTTCATCAGAGACCCCGGTCCTCTGTTGGCTTATTGCAGGTACAGGACTAGAGAAGGGCATGGGGCATGTAGAGAACGGGAAAAGTAAACGACAGAGTGGGGCTTCCTGCTGTGCTCCAAAGATGGCCCCACCAAATGCTGCTCCCTACATCACAGCTCTGGGAAAGCCCCAGCTTCATCTAGAGTGATCTGGGAGTTTCTGTGTTAAGAATTAGAATAGGAGGCCTTGCAACTTCGCAGCCTGCATTTACAGCCAACCTGGTAACAACGGAGAAGATTCAGAGATTGTAGCTTTGGACCAGAGACTTATTCAGAGCCACATCAAAGGCTTTCTTGATTTACTGCAAAAAGAGCAAGAAAGCATTTTTCCTCTCACTGAAAGATCTTCATCAGAGACCCAGGTCCTGATGTACCTGTTGGCTTATTGCAGGTACAGGACTAGAGAAGGGCATGACACCGCTAGAGAACGGGAAAAGTAAACGACAGAGTGGGGCTTCCTGCTGTGCTCCAAAGATGGCCCCACCAAATGCTGCTCCCTACATCACAGCTCTGGGAAAGCCCCAGCTTCATCTAGAGTGATCTGGGAGTTTCTGTGTTAAGACGTCAATGTTCCCCTTATAAACTCTTTAAAGTAGGTTTGAATTGATGTTTTAATTTACTTTCCTGAGAGATGCAGTTCTGAAATTTGTAACATTGATTTTTTTCCACCATTGAATTATGATGATGTGGCCATTTATTAGATTTGTTGCCTTTTAAAGCTAGATGGGTGTTTATCTCTTAAACATATGTGCAGTGAAAAGGTTACTGTCTGCACATTTTTTTCCATGGGTCTCATCTTTCTAATTTAAATTAGGGTTGGGAGGCATGTTATGACAATCCAGTGAATGATTGGCTGAACAGCCACAAGTGCCTTTAAAAATTTAATATGCATAAATATCATTAGTTCTTTTGGGATTTAATTAAATTCAAGACTGTTCCCTTAATCTTTATATGTTTAAAACAAACAGCTGTAGCAAGAAGAAGTGGAAAATGGAACATTTGTTTTTTATTGCATTGTGTGCAGTCTGCATTTGTTTTAATCAGATATTCTATATTGGGAGAAGAAATTTAACACTTCTTTTGACGTTGCACAGTCTACTTAAGAGAACATATTCACTTATTTTCCTGTTGCTCTTTCCTAAGATAAAAATCCCTTCATCCTCAGCCACGTTAGGAATGGGGTTAAATACAGCCTGAGCCAGGGGAGACTGCAACAAACTCAGCTCTGAATGATGACTTTGGAGTCAGCCCTGAGTCTGTGGTTGACTTCCCCTCCCCGTTCTTCATTGTTACTGTCCTTTCTGTGAAATGGGAATGGTAATGCTGATGTCCCATGTATGGTGGCTGGCAATCAGCTGAAGGATAGTGCTGCATATACAGGATAGTATACAATGCTATTGCCCTCCCCTGCTTTTTAAGTGTCTGCTTCTGTGAGCACCACTGCTCTCTTGCTTCAAGGAATTTAGCTCACAGAGATTCAACTGGGAGAAGAGATGTTCAAGCTCCTCTTCTAGGAACTGGTTAAAACTCAGTGCTCCACAAATGTTTCTCTTTACGCACATGTGGTGAAAACACAGTACATTTGTTCTCAGAGGGTAGCAACAGAAAGCAAAACAAAAACAGTCCACAAAGGAGAAGGAAATTATCCAGAGATGATCTGCTTGACTCTTGCTACTTCTCCTTTCAGTGGCAAGTCCAATGTTTAATGCCCTGAAGGGGAGAAAGAGAGATTTCTTGTACTTAGGAAAGGGCACTGAGTGCTCAAGGTTTCAGTGCTGTGCTCTCAAACCTTTTGCCACGGGAGACGTGGCCATTTGCATCCAGGCTTTCTCTGTTCGTTTGCCTGAAGAGCAGGCATTCACCTCTCGTAATGCCAGCTGCCTGAAAACCAGAGCCCGGTCCAAAAGCTGTTGCCTAGGCTGCCGCTGTGAGCAGAGGAGGGAGGCAGGCACTTCCAGGTGACAGTTTAGCCCTGCTGTCTTAAAATGGGATGAACTCTCTTCGGATTTTTTGTCTTCCTCCATTGACTCTGCCCCGTAGACCAGGCTCTGACTTCAAGGTCACCAGAGAGAGGGGAGGTGAATCCTACCCTTTGGTGCTGCCAGGCAGGGGCTACACCTAGGGACTGGCTCAGGCAACAGCCATACAGCAGAGGCAGCTTGAGCTCAGAGAAGCTTTTTGCACTGAAACAAGGGATATGCTTCCTAGGAAAGTGCTGAGTTTGAGAGATTAAAGTGATGGACACAAAGAAATATCAGCAGGTTGTTGTAAAATGACATTACCATGGAGCTCTCTGTGTACCTGAGCAGTGGATTTCAAATGGTGCGGCAGAACTGTAGAATAACCTAGGTTGGAGGGACCTCTGGAGGTCTCACTTCCAAGCCCTTGCTCAAAGCAGGTCCAGCTTGCTCAGGTTGCTCGGGACCTTGCCCTGGGGACAGGTTTTGAGTATCTCCAAGGGTGGGAAGGTTACCCCAAGCAATGTGGACCAAGCTGTACACAAGCTGTAGAATCTTTTGGGTATTTCAAGGTGCTATTCTCATAAGGTACAAAGATACTTTTGGTAGGGATGGCTGGCCTTGGCTCCCAGGGAATTCAGCTGGAGCTGGGAAAACTCAACATCTCTTTTTGCAGAGCTATGCCTACGGTGAGGGCTGTTTATACAACAGCACCGTATAAAGCTACTCAGAAATTATTAGTTCCCAGCACTGGAAATTTCCCAGCATTGACGTTAATCCATCACAGAATTTTTATCCACTAAAGACTAATTTTGCTCCTGAAAAATGTGACAGTGGTAATGACTTGATCCTCTGTGTGTGCAGAACTATTCTATTTCCTTTATTCCCTAAAATTTAGTTTTACTTCTCTTTTTTTGGTCCTATTTTTGCTTCTTTTGCATCATAAAAAGATGATTAATGAAGCAAGTAAAGCAAGTAGAGACTGCTTAATCCTTCTAATTGATAATGAATCAAGGGTACCTGGGACAAATGCTTCTTGCGTCATGTGAAACTAGGTCTGAAACACTCACAGAACAATCTTTAATAACAATTTTTTTTAATCCACAGTCCATTTAAAGACCATTCACACAGAGTCTAGAATTCATGGGCTAAATTGTATAAGCAAATATATATCTCTGTAAATATATAAATAATTTGCCCCAATCTCTTGGAAGTCACTTTTACTGATACTCTTCTGAGATGGTTCCTTATGACTAAAGTCCTTTTTGCTTTAACAGACTGTTTTCCATAGAGTCATCATCAGTGAAACTGGCTGATGTGCTAACATGTGAATTATTATAATTCAGTTTTGCACATAATGCTTCATTAAATTAGGACCATACTTGTCTGCCAAAGTATGGAAAACAATGAATGTGCCAAAAAATCCACATGGAAAAACACCCACTTATAAAGAGTAATGGGATGTTATTCCAGTTCTCGTGCTGGACTGCAGCCCTGCCTCAGTACCTGTGGTTTGGGAGCTGCTCCATCGCCACATATTTCCTTCCTCACAGCCCACTTCCTGGCTTTAATGAGAGGAAAGGTGAGCATCACCCCTTGGGAAATACTCATTTTATTGGTCTGGGGTTGAGATGAAAGAGCCACAAGAAAAGTGTGGATGCTGTGCTTACATCCAGATCCCCACAGCAGGAACAATTTCAGTTTGCCTGGAGCCCCAGGGGGTCCAGAGGAGCCAATGACGCCTTCACCCATCTTGATCTCTCCTGCCGACTGCCTTCATGGTGATGGGGGTACTTTGTGCTGCTCTTGGCTTTCCACAGTGTGGGGCTGAGCCTGTCCGAGCACGGCTCCTGCACCTGGGGCAGCCAGTTTGGCATGAGTGCTGCAAAGTTTCCACAGTCACTGCTGCACTGGCAGCGATTTCTCTGAAAAGCAGGTGTATGATTAGATGGGCTTATATGGTCTTCAATCTTGCTTTTAGTAGTAGTTTCCTGTACATGGCTGTAAATCCTAGAGTGGTTGATAAGTTTATATGGTGCATCCTTACTCTAATGATATATATCCCCACACCTTCATAAATTGTTGTATATTTGTATTTTCCTTAAATAGCTTCATAAATCCATATATATTGGTCTAGCCCTAAAAATCATTATGAACGTTTTATTCATTGGCATATTTCTGGAATGATCATAAATCATCCAGGATGCTATCACCTTTCCACACATGTGCATGTGTGGACACCCACACACCCGCCCATATGCACTCCTCAGGCTTCTATAAATCATTGGATTTTGGCCTGAGATGAGAGCAGAGACTTGCTGCTCCTTTTTCTACAGTCTTCCCAGGCCTGCTCCAGAGGAATAGTTATAAACACATAAAAGGAGCTAAG